GCCATCCTCTTTTTTTCAAAGTGCCCAGACCATTGGAATTATCTTTAGCGAGTATTTCCTGCAACCTAGCAGTTGCTGGAGTATTTTCAATGTGCTCACATGTATGCCTCCAGTGTATCCTCTTTAATCTCCGTATTCCCTGATTATAAGCGGTGAGGGATTCCTTATATTGTTCCCACTGTTGAATTCGTTTAGCTCAATTGAAAAGCTTCCGGTTTTTTTTTTACGAAGTTTCTTTAGCCTGTTGTTCCACCAAAGTACATCCCTGTTTGTAGAGCGTTCCTTTTCAATGCAACTCTTATAAAAGGCATGTTGGATCAAATTTGAAAGTTGTTTAGAACTATTCTCAAGTTCTTCACAAGTGTTTAAGCTAATTGCTATCGTGTCTCTTCCTGCCACTAGCTATGAATTATATAGCTCCCAGTATGTTTTCTTAGGATCTCTAAAAGTTTGTGTGAGCTGTTCACCAGCCTCATATTCAAATAATATTTGCTTGTGATCAGACAAAGATATTTCGTCTGACACATGCCAATTTTCGATTTTGTCTGAGATTATTGGACTACACAAAGTCAAATCAAGAACTTCTTGTCTAATTGCATTTATAAAGGTTGGAGCATCCTTGTAATTTTGTATCCTGGCTTCGATCCTTGTTTTTGTGGTGTATTATTTTCTTTTCTTTTGTCACCGACTGTATTTGTAGTGTGGTCAGGAGCATTACGGGTTGTTTTTTTTTGCTCTCGACACCACTTGGTCCTGGGATTTCGTCAATTTTATCTACGATCCATCTTGTCATCACCAGTGCCTACGTGGGTCTTTTGGGACTCACCATCATCCCTTTGCCCTGGTCTTTCACTACCATCATGTAGATTTCTCTTTTGGAACTATTTCTTTTGTTGGCATTTCCAAACTTGAAATCAAGGATGAGTTTACTGTTTTTGATGGAGTGCAAGGATTACCCGTCTACAGTGAAAACTAGTTCCACATGTTGGTTTTTTACGTTGCGCTGCAGTATCCTCCATGCATCAACAGCCAACCCATCGTTTTGACTTTCTAGGAGAGTCACAGAATTTCTTAATTTTTGTCCTCTGAACTCCAAGGGAAGAAACCAATGAGAATTTCAGGCCACGGGATTCCCTTTTCATCCAATGCTAACAGCTCTGCCTCTGACCAGGGAGTTACTGTGGAAATAATGCTTTTTAGCCAGCCTGCAGTTTCTTTATTTTTACAGACTATGACTAAATAGCCCAACTTGAAAACGCAATCGCCAAATTTTGGTTTCAATGGTGCTTTTCGTTGTCCTGCTACTTAAGCTAAAATTGCTTTTTGCGTAGCAATTAATTGAGCTGTTGTAAGCTCCATATGATCCATGATCCTTTCCTTCTTCATTTTTAACAATTAACACTCATCACGTTCGACACAATACACCAAATTTATTTTTTGTTGACTACACTACACATTTTATTTTTAAACTATACATTTATTCCTTAAAGCTAACATAGGATTCTACGGTTCTATTTTTACTAAATTCTTCCATTATACTATTGTTAGTGATAAGTTAATTTATTGACGATCTAGAAATAAACGAACTTACATGCAGTAAAAGTCTTCCTAGTTCCACTCGTGGTCAACATCCGCATGATCTTCGATTTGCGTTTCCAAACGTTGACTGATAATGGTTTCCTGAGGAGCAATGGCGGATTGCATACCCTTACACATGTTCAATTTCTCTTTCAAGGCTTGAGAACTGACTTTCAAGTCAAAAGTAAAGTTCATAAGCTAATCAGCTTTCTCGCACAGTGCTTGAACATTGGGAGTAAGGCTCTCCAAAATGTTTTGAGCTACTCTCAAACCTTTCTGGTTGCATTGTAGTCTGCTACCTTCAGAAATTGGTAAAGACCAGAACATGCCTCTCATGTCTGGAGGTGACATCTGAGTGATCAAGTTTTCCTGCGGATGACCCGGCGTAGTATGTATCCATGTGGCTCACTGGACACATCCGGAATCGTGGCTCTCAAGGTGAGCATGAATAGTTCTAAGTCGGTTTACCAGATCCATCAAACTCACATTTGCAAGAGCTCCACCTCTATATTGATCAACTGGCTCTAACAGATCTTTGCTCAGCAATTCCCAAATAGCCACAGATGAAACAGAGTGAGAATAAAGAAGCACAAAAACGATAATGCGCTTGCACCGCCAACTCAACGGTTCGGCTGCCATCTCCAATCTGCTTAACTTTAATCACTGTTTTGCGTTTTACATCCTCCAGGTACACGAATTTCTCAATGTCACGATGAACATGAATTTCTCAATGTCAAATAAGAGACCACGGTACGGCGAGTTTCTCCGAACTCCTAACTTCAACCTCACGATGTATATGTGATTTTACAAACTTCCAAAACATCTTTATCACATTTGCGACCGATTCCTCAAACACCTTTTTGGCTATTGATTGCGACACCGTTTTTTTGCCGCGTATATTATTCAAGAAAAAATCAGGACGGAAGAAATATTTATTCTTTTCTAGTTCATTATCCATACCACCAAGACTGTATTCCGATGAACTTGATAACAATCTTGAACGCTTGCTTCCAGATTCACGGTCCTCATGTATGGAAACAGTAGTGTATTCGTCACCTTCTTCAATATCTTCATTCATCAGTCGTTCAATATTCATATCGTTGTCCATTGCACTGAAGGAATACAAATTGTAATACGGGCCCTAAGTAATGGAATAAAGATCAGTAATATTCTTACCGTACAGTGATTGTGTACCAAGTGCTCGAATGGTGTTCGTTATAAATATCCTTCTCTACACGTTAAGAAAAAAGTACCCAAACGTAAGTTCTTTTCACTCATCTCGGCACTATAGTGCAGGCAGCCAACAGTAGGTACACGCTATTTCTAAACTACCCAATTTTTTTGTAGAATCCACCCAGAGACAGCACAAGTCTTTCTATCACAAGGTTCATGATTCGAGTCCGGTCTGTAGCCGTTTTTAATTTTTTTTTGTCATGTTTATTCCTTTGAATGATGAAGTTATTTTTACCCATCCTCACTAATACACTCCACTTTTTTCGGTCTCCACAACCAACACTTGTGGCTCCCTGGTTGGGTGTAGCGGTAGCGAGTGTGGCAGTTCTAACGAAACTAGCTTCATACAATGTACAAATCAATTTCGTTGCAGAAAACAACGAATAAATTTGTAGAACAAACGATCGATTTCGTTGTATAAACGAAATTTTATTTTCAGTTAGCTTCAATGTTTCATTGACATTAACTGTCAGTGACGATTGTCAATTTCGGTTGTCAAATCTGACGCCAAATGCTAATTTTTCTCTGAATTAGTAATACATCATTTAGAAAGAAAAAAAAAGTTTCGGGTTCATTTTCAGTTTGGTGCTCCAAGAGCTAATCGTCTATTCTCAAGGCAAAACTGCACTATGACAAAGTTTTTTCCCTACTCTTCACGCAAAATACACCAATGTTGCCTACTGATCGGAGCAGTTGATGGAACGTGTCCTCCTACTATAATAATATCTAATTATCTTAACCCACGACGCTAACCCGTCACAACTATCAATGACCTGACGATAGAACCTCTCAATACCAGCAGCTTTAAACTCAACTTTGACAGTTTTTCTTTTGACAGCATTACTCAGAAACTAGGTTCACCACTCTCACCACTAAGGAGGGTCCCATTTCAAACCCCATCATCTCTAATATAACTCTGTTGTATGAAGCTGAACCAGCATACGGGTGAAAATCTTTTTAGGAAAATCAATCTTACCTAACCAGAGCTTTGAGTGTGTTGGTTTATTTCCTTTAAATTCCTTTATAATTGCTTATCTTTTGACAGACCACCAGTGGTGTTGAGTACTTGGCACTGATGAGGTCTGCAAATAGTAAACGAAATACGCGTATCTGTCAAAAGATAAGCAATTATAACGGAATTTAAAGGAAATAAACCAACACACTCAAAGCTCTTCATAAAGGGATTCTGTTAAGAGGTTCGACAAATTTTTTAAAGGTTTACCTAACCAATTAAAAAGTGGTCTTCAGAAAATTTGTACCTGAGAAAGTACAGATATGAAGATTACCCGTTATCATCATTATGACAAAAGTCCTAGCAGAATAAAAAGATCACTTTTCCAGTAGTAAATTCAATATAAATTTCAAATGGCATATACAGTATGAGATCGCAACCAAATGAGCTCAAATTTTGAGAGAATTATCTGGACCTGAATTAAAATCGATTGAGCTTTGTAACCGTTTGTTCACAAGTGTTCACGCCCAAACGCGAACGATAGTCAGTGACCGTCGTAAGCCCCACCCATTTGTTAAATTTCTCTCAACCAACGATCGAGCAAGGCGAAACCAGAAGATGAAGAAGAAACAGTACGATAGTATACAAGCAGCGAAGCTAGTGGCATTAGTATTAGTATGGTTTTAGTTGTCAAATGTATACAACAAGATAAAAATAAATAAGTGAAACTATCCTAGTTTTTTTAAAACATCCTCTGATCCGGCATTGTGTTCAACTGAGGAGGAGCAGTACACCGTTTTTAAATACAGTCCACCGCTGGTTGAGTGCTTGCTGTCGACGGGCTTGCGGAATCCCAACCGTCCTTATCAGGGCAAGAAGAGTTTTTTGTTATCCCAAGCGCCTGAGCAGAACACTCATTTTACGAAGACTTCCTGTTTGAGCGGCACCCTTTCCCTTTCCTGTCTTGTCAGGACACGATTAGTTTTGCCGCAAGAGAACTAGGAAGTCCCACCATTCCCTTCATTGGAGTCTGGTACGGCTCCGACATTGGTCCTTCGAGCCGGATAAGAGCAACGTTGTGCGGAGAAACCTACGAGAAGCAGAGTTTCTGGAGGATGTTGGAAGAAAGCTAGTAGTGAGTAGTGAGAATTGGATTAGTAAAGTGGACAATAAATAAAAAAGATACATTGAAGTGAAAAAGTGAAAGAAAGTGTGTTGTGAAAAGTGAAACGTCATAATGCCTATCGACCACACGCTTAAGAAGCCCACTGCGGACGCCGAGAAGTTGCAGATGTTTATTCACCAACGTGGTCAAATTAAAGGCAAAGTGACTAAAATAACCAACAACCTTGAAAAGGCTGAAGATGACCCATCGCAAATCAGTGCATCGTTACTCAAAGTGTATGGCAAAAAGTTAGAAATGCATTACACCGAGTACACTGAAGCCCACCGTGAAGTGATTGCCATAACTCCACCGGCAAAAATGGAAGAGCAAGACGACAAGCTAGACGAATTCGACGTTCTGCACACGGAAGCGCTCGATCGCCTAGAGCGTCTGATGGAGTATTTTGCCAAGCCTGCTCCTGTGGTTGCTATTCCTAGTGGAGCAGCCCAAGTAGTCGTGCAGCATCATCCCCTCAAAGCACCGATACCTTCTTTCGATGGTCGTGTGGAGAATTGGCCCAAATTCAAAGCCATGTTTGAGGATTTGGTCGTGAAAAGTGGTGATTCCGATGCCGTCAAGCTGCATTATCTTGACAAATCTTTGGTGGGTGACGCAGCTGGTCTCATCAATGCCAAGATAATTCAAGACAACAATTTCCATCAAGTATGGAGACAGTTGAGAGAACAGTTCGAAAACAAGCGTGTCATAGTGGACACCCACGTCGATGGATTGATCCAGTTGAAACCGATGATGAAGAGCAATTTCAAGGATCTGTTGGAGTTAACGAAATCATGTGAGCGTCACGTCGCAGGACTGGAGTACCAGGGTCTGGCAGTGGACGAACTATCCGGGGTCATCATTACGAAGCTATTATCCTCCCGTTTGGACGATCACACTCTACAGCTGTGGGAACGTAAGCAAAAACATGGTGAGTTACCCAAGTACGAGGATACGTTGGTATTCTTAAAAGGTGAGTGCCAAATTCTTGAGCGTTTCCAACATTCTCGTCATCCTGTTGTGGCGAAAGAGCCTCAGTCCAAACATTCCAATGCAAAACCTGTGTATCAGAAGGCACTCACTGTCACGTCCTCTAATTCTTCGAGTCAATGTAAATTTTGTGGTGAAAACCACCGCCATTTTGAGTGTCCCATTTTTACCAAATTGCCTATCGCAGAGCGCATAAACAAGGTGAAGCAATTGAGAATTTGTTTCAACTGCCTCGGACTTGGCCACTGTGCCAAGGATTGTTCTTCCAAGCGTAATTGTTCGAAATGTCACAAGCGACATCACACCCTCCTGCACGAAGAATCCTTCACGAAAACCCTTGAGACCGAAACCCTCCCTGAAAAGGACTCTTTCCAGGACGCTGCTGAAGTCAAAACAGTTCCCAAAATCGTTCCGTCAACAAGTGCCAACACATCCTGTTCCTGCAACCATTCTCAAACCGCGAAGACCGTGATGCTGCTAACTGCTATCGTGAATCTTGAGAGTGCTGATGGTCAGTTAGTTCCTTGCCGGGCAATGATGGATAGTGGCTCCCAAGTATGTTTTTTGTCCGAGACGATCGCCAACCGTTTGAAGATTTCCCGTGAGCCAGTGAACGTGCCAGTTACCGGAATAGGCGGAGCAAAGATCTACGCAAGAGAGAAACTGACAGTGACGATCCAGTCCAGGTGTTCCAATTTCTCCACTGATATGGAATGCCTTGTGGTACCAAGGGTAACCGGTACCATCCCTTCCGTTAAAATAGATGTTTCATCGTGGCCAATTCCTACCGGAGTTCAATTGGCAGATCCTACATTCCACGTGCCTGCTAAAATCGACATGCTAATCGGCGCTTCAAAGTTTTTCACGTTGCTGAAGTCTGGTCAGATTCACCTAGCCGATGGTCTTCCTGAGCTCCATGAAACCCATCTCGGTTGGGTCTTCGCTGGAGAGATCAACAACGATGCTGCTGATACCGTAGTGGCCCACCCTGTTTCGCTTGATTCCCTAAGTGAGACGATAAGTCGGTTCTGGGAAGTTGAGGATATTTCACATTCAGTGAAGGAGGAAACAGAGTTAAATATGTGCGAGGAGATTTTCCGTTCAACACATCGTCGGACGTCAACTGGACGTTACATGGTTTCACTCCCCTTCCGAGAAGATATTGCATTGCTTGAGGACAACCGATCCGTTGCACTTCGTCGTTTCCTAATGCTCGAGAGACGGTTCAAGAAGGATCCCACGCTGAAGAAACTGTACTCTGAGTTTATTGCTGAGTACGAAGCATTGGGTCATTGCCATGAAGTCGATGAAGCAAACGATGTTCCTTCTCAAGGTCGTTATTATTTACCACACCACGCAGTGTTACGGTCAACCAGTTCGACGACGAAGCTAAGAGCGGTGTTCGACGCTTCGGCCAAGCCTAGCCCGCCAGCCAAGTCTCTAAACGAGGTACTTCAAGTCAGAGGCGTTGTTCAGAGTGATTTGTTAAGCATTCTTCTTCGTTTTCGCATACCCGTCGTAGTATTCACCGCTGATATAGCAAAAATGTATCGGCAGATATTGATTGCTTTGGGCCATACTCAATTCCAACGGATTTTTTGGCGGATGGAACCCAACCAACGACTACGAGTTCTGGAGCTGCTAACCGTAACGTACGGAACAGCTTCAGCGCCTTTCCTTGCCACCAGATGCCTGGTTCAGTTGTGCAACGACGAAGGTAACCGATTTCCTCTTGCGTCCAAGATTCTCATTGAAGACTGTTATGTCGATGACATCCTCTCTGGAGCTGACAGTGTAGAAGAAGCTGTAGAAGCACAGCGCCAGCTGCAAGAATTACTCCAACTTGGTGGTTTTCCTATCCACAAGTGGAGCTCAAACTGTCCGGAATTACTGAATCAAATCCCTGAGGAAAATCGAGAGAAGTTAGTGCGCTTGGATTATACTACCACAAGCGAAGTAATCAAGACCTTGGGGCTAACCTGGAGCCCACATTCTGATGAATTCATGTTCGTAACGAAGATTCCAGCCGAAGTGCCTGAAACATACACCAAGCGAAAGGTATTTTCGGAAATTGGGAGGCTATTTGATCCATTGGGTTTAGTCTCTCCCGTCGTTGTGGTAGCAAAGATCTTGATGCAGAAATTGTGGACCGCTGGTTTTTCTTGGGACGAAAATCTTGAAGGAGAACTTCTGCTTTCTTGGTTGAAGTTTCGCGATGCTCTGCCGCAAATGTGTGAGATGAAAATTCCTCGACGTGTCATTCTTTCAAACACCGTTGCTATGGAAATCCACGGGTTTTCTGATGCCTCGATTTCTGCGTACGGTGCAATTGTGTATGTGAGGAATGTTTTTCCTGATGGCAGAGCCGAGTTGCGACTCTTGTGTAGCAAATCAAAGGTCGCCCCAATAGCTGAATTGAGCATTCCTCGGAACGAGTTGTTAGCGGCCCGACTGTTGTCCCGATTGGTTGTGAAGGTGATTGATTCGATGAAGATGAAATTTGACGATGTTACTCTCTGGTCTGACAGCCAGATAGTACTGGCTTGGCTACGCAAGCCATTAAGCTCACTCCAAGTATTTGTACGGAACCGAGTTGCTGAGATCATCACTGAAACCAAAGGCTACACCTGGAAATATGTCCCTATCAAGGAGAACCCAGCGGATATTGTGTCAAGAGGATCGCTGCCCAAAGTCTTGATATCCAATGAATTGTGGTGGAAGGGTCCCCTTTTCCTACGATCCGCAAACTACGAAACTGAACAACCAAATCAGCTATCGGATGAAAAATTGCCGGAATTGAAATTGACAGCCTTCGTTTCTGCAGCCGCATACAATGCTGATAATCTTCCCGTTTTTGCCAAGTTTAGCTCCTTTCGGAAGCTGCAGAGAGTGATCGCATATGTACGGCGTTTCATCTCAAACTGTAAAATCAAGGACTCGAGTCTGCGTAACTTGAAGTGTCACCTCACAGTTCCTGAATTACGAGGATCGATGGATGTAATCATCAAGGTAGTTCAACATGAAATTTTAGGAGACGAAATAAGCCGTATCGAGAACAAGGAGCCATGTAAAAGAATTGCTTCTCTGAATCCTGTGTACCAGGATGGACTGCTGAGAGTAGGTGGAAGATTGACGAATTCGCCTATATTGACCATGACTAAACATCCGTATATATTGCCGAATCATCCCATTGTCGATCTTCTGATAAGAGCGTATCATCTCGAGAATATGCACGTTGGACCGTCAAGTTTGCTCGTGATAATTCGAGGCAGATTTTGGTTAACAGGAGGTAGATCTGCAGTAAGGAAAATTACGAGGAATTGCGTCACTTGTTTTCATATCAGACCAACGAAGGCAAGTCAGCTAATGGGAAATTTGCCTTCTTGCCGTGTGACTCCTGCTAACCCGTTTGAAGTGACTGGTGTGGATTATGCGGGCCCCGTGTTTGTAAAACAAGGACGACGAAAGCCAATTGTGGAGAAAGCGTATATAGCCGTATTCGTGTGCATGGTAACACGAGCTGTGCACTTGGAATTAGTGTCGGATATGACCTCAGATGCGTTCATTGGCGCATTACAACGATTTACGAGCAGAAGGGGACTGCCTCGAGAAATGCACTCTGATAACGGCTCCAACTTCCGAGGAGCAAAGGCGGAACTCAACGAGCTGTACAAACTGTTTCGGTCTCAATCAGCCGTTGGAAAAATCGAGGGTTTTTGTCAACCGAAGGAAATCGCTTGGTTTTTTATTCCACCTGAGGCACCAAACTTTGATGGTATCTGGGAGGCCGCCGTTAAAAGTGCCAAATATCATTTGAAACGCACCTTGAAGGACACTCATTTGACATTTGAGGAATACGTGACAGTTCTGACACAGGTCGAGGCTATATTGAATTCCCGGCCGCTCTATGCTACCTCACCTGATCCTGATGATCCCGAGGTACTCACTCCTAGTCATTTTTTGATCGGGCGTCCGCTTACTGCCATCACGGAGCCGAGTTACCAAGACATTTCTGTCAATCGTCTTGGCCGTTGGCAATTTTTGCAAAGACTACGGGAAAACTTTTGGAGAAAATGGAAAAATGATTACCTGCAAACCTTGCAACAACGAACCAAGGACCAAATCAAGAAACACAATTTGCAGCCAGGAATGATTGTGCTCCTAGAAGAACAGAATTTGCAACCCATGAACTGGAAATTGGGAAGGATTGTTCGAACCTATCCAGGATCCGATGAATTAGTTCGTACGGTCGACGTAAAGGTTGGTAGCACTGTTTACAAGCGTCCAGCAACAAGGATTGCAGTGCTTCCTATCAAGGACAATAAACAATCGTTGGGTCATCGTTCCGAGAATACTTCTCAGCCCGGGGGAGAATGTTCACGCCCAAACGCGAACGATAGTCAGTGACCGTCGTAAGCCCCACCCATTTGTTAAATTTCTCTCAACCAACGATCGAGCAAGGCGAAACCAGAAGATGAAGAAGAAACAGTACGATAGTATACAAGCAGCGAAGCTAGTGGCATTAGTATTAGTATGGTTTTAGTTGTCAAATGTATACAACAAGATAAAAATAAATAAGGGAAACTATCCTAGTTTTTTTACAACATCCTCTGATCCGGCATTGTGTTCAACTGAGGAGGAGCAGTACACCGTTTTTAAATACAGTCCACCGCTGGTTGAGTGCTTGCTGTCGACGGGCTTGCGGAATCCCAACCGTCCTTATCAGGGCAAGAAGAGTTTTTTGTTATCCCAAGCGCCTGAGCAGAACACTCATTTAACGAAGACTTCCTGTTTGAGCGGCACCCTTTCCCTTTCCTGTCTTGTCAGGACACGATTAGTTTTGCCGCAAGAGAACTAGGAAGTCCCACCATTCCCTTCATTGGAGTCTGGTACGGCTCCGACAACAAGTCCATATATTTTTGTTTTATATTTGTTGAATTCGGAATCATCACGCTGCTGGTGAGGAAGCAGAAGGCATCTACCACAGAAGCAATAGAGTTGGTAACCGCTGTGAAGAAACTGTAAATGTTCCAAGATGTAAAAGCCAACGGATGACGAAAATGGAAAGGTCGGTTATCATCTAAAATCAGATTCTTTACTATAAGGCATCCATGTACTCAAGATGTGATGTTTGTGAAGTGCAATGGTGAAATGTACTATCACGCCTACCCACTCCCCATACTGGTTATCTTCTCATATTTTGAGCTAATTTGTTTGCAGCCTGCATTTTGAACTGGTACAGGAAATTCAAAAAATATTACAACCCAATAAATATGTTTGCCGCATCGAGAATCGAAGCAGCCTATAGAGTATACATCAATACAGCTACTAATCACACAACAAAATGTATTGAAAGTTATGTTACGTATGATTTAAACATTCAATCATATGACACTCTTTGTATGCATGTGCATTATATAAAACTGATATATGTACACACTTCTTCTTAGAATCGTGTAGACCAACAATTAAACAGCGAAATCGTTTCGAAAAGGATGAGGCAACTACCAAGTCCATTTCCTAGAACATTGCAACCCGATATTAGTGAACCGTTTCATTATCCATTTGAAGTTCTTTAAGTAAGCCGATCCCACCATCGAGTGAAAATGAAACTATTAAAGGCTTAAGAATTATTATTATTCGATGCTCCCTTTATTCGACTCTACCCAAGCAAATGCTGTCATCACCTCTCTGCTTCGGTTTCGAAGCAATTTTCTTCTATTTTTGAAACCTGATTCACCGCAAACGGCTTTGCCTCAATTTGTGGAATCCTTACGGTACCACACGTAGGGTGAACAATAGGGTGGGTCAAGTTTTTATGGCGGATCACAAGCAACTGCAGGCTACTGCTCTTTCTATGCCAAATTTTAACGAATTTTATTACGAGTTTGTTTGGAAAAATATATGGGTAAAAAATAGTAACTTTATACCAGAATTCAAAGTGGTTCTGCATAATTTTCCCAATCTAAGTCTCACGTTTGGTAAAAATTTGTGAATTTTTTGAATTTTTGACATGCTCCGATTCCTATACATTTTTTCATGCACACTTTAAAGTACTCCAGCAAATCCAGATCGTATTCAATTTCGTTCAAATTTGGTACAGTATTTGGGAACCTCAATACAATTCGAAAGACCCTTATAAAATTTGTATGGAAATTTTGCCTAACGAAGTGTTCAGGGTATCATCCAAACCATTTGTGAAATATATTTATCATTTAATTTATCGTTCGTATTTTTTGTATTAGGGGCGCAGTTGGGAACACGGGGTTGAAAAGTTGATCCACCCTAGTGAACAATATTGGAAGGGTCCTCGATCTGCCATTCCTGACGAGAGATATGAACTAATGCTATTGTTACGCAACGAAATAAAAAGTCGCACGGCCAGGATTGAACGGAAAAAGGACGGTCGAAATCTGCTGTGCTGCAGAAAGCGGTATCATCAAGACGCTCACCCCGTCGGGAAGCGAAGGAAGCCAGTGTAAAATTAAAAGGTGATTAAATGAAACCATCAGGCAGCCGAAAAATCGCTTCTCCGATGTC